TCTGCATGAAAATTTCCCCAAAAATTCTCAAAAAAAAAAAAATCTCATTCTCATTACTATCAGTGTTGAAAATGATCTTGTCCAGATGCCTTTAAAATCAGTATAATTATAAATTATTATTTAATTATAATTTATTTAAATAAAAACTACAATGTATACTATTAAAATATAAAATAAAATAAAAGAATTTGCTTAAAGAATTTGCATGAATTTGTATTATTTTGGCATTATCTACATTAAAATTTCACCCAAAATTCCCATTAAAAATCTTATGCTTATTACTGTTATATAGTATTGAAAATTATCTAGTCAGGATGCATTAAAATCAGCATGAATTCAAAGCACTCCAAATTATAATTATAAATTATTGTTTATATTATTATTATTATTAAATTATAATTTATTACAATAAAAACTACTATGTATACAATGTAAAAAAATATATATTTTTCTAAAGTTGTACATATTATTGGAGTTCTTTTTACAAGAAATACAATTTCAGTCTTTCTACTTTAAAATTTCACAAATTAAATTAAATTAAATTAAATTCATAGTCATAAGATGCTAAAACAAATGAGGGAAGTAAAGCAAATAATGCTGGACACGAGGGACAGAGACACAGATGGAGTAATTTCAATCGATAGCCTAATGTGATAATCTAATAAGCATAAAACACACAGCACACACAAATACTGCATAAACAGTCCATTTCTATTTTTGATCTATTTTTTATCAATACTTTTTAGAATTAAATGAATTAAGGATATAATCTGCATTTCTCTCGTCCACCTGCTTGCATGGATTATTTTCACTAAGCGTGTAACAATGCATTCTGGGACTGTTGTCTCTGCAAAAAAGACAGAACACCTTAAAATACTGATGTTTGATGCCTTAAAATACCACCTAGGTAGGTAGCTCACTATATTTGGATCTCAGATTCAAAAATCCATGTGCATCTTGAGTTCAGCACACAAAACAGAGCTCAGCGTAATCAAATCAACCACCGCAGTGTTTGCCATTCAAATGCATTGAACTGAACATATTACCCAACATACTATGCATCACGCCCTCCAGCCCTTGTAAATTCTTCCACAATCTCTAAGTGACTAGTCAGAATGATCTAAAAATATCAATGGAGTAACAAAGGTACAACTATTTGACCTTTAACTGCCGAATGCAAATGAAATCATGCAGGAAAGATCAGGTCGCAATATTCGAGCGACGCCACACATCCGCAGCCTTTCTGAAATGCTCGTCAGTGCAGCAGAGATGATTCTTTCCGATCGGCAGAAGCACAATCATCAGTTCGACAGCGAGGACGGAAAAGCCCTCGTACCGTCAGACACGTGGCGTCTCCATTCCCCCGGCCTCACATTTGCATGTGTTAATCGCTCGGTGTGCATTCGCTTCCATCTGCACCAAACCCTCGCTTATGTAATATCAATATCTCATAAACAGGCCCAGATGCAATCTGCACACTTATTTTACAGTAGTGCTCACCGTCTAGATGGAGAAATCTCACAGGATTTGCGTTTGCAACTGAGCTCAGGGTTGATACTCACATTTTCTGTGGGAAACTCTGGATTTAAACAGAAAAATTACACTACTGTTCAAAAGTTGTTGTTTTTTTAAATACTGTTATTCAGCAAGGATGCATTAAATTGATCAAAAATGACAGCAGATACATTTAGAATGTTACAAAATACTTCTATTTTGTAACATTATATCAGTGCAGCAAATCAGCATATTAGAATGATTTCTGAAGGATCATGTGACACTGAAGACTAGAGTAATGATGCTGAAAATACAGCTTTGATCACAGGAATAAATTACATTTCACAATATATTCACATAGAAAACAGTTATTTTAAATTCTAAAACTATATCAAATTTTTACTGTATTTTTAGTCCAATAAATGCAGCCTAAAATAACCGACCCCAAACTTTTGAATGCTGGAAACCTGTTCGGAGACAATCATTATTTTTGCAATTCTATTCGGTGCCACACATTTCAGCTTAAAATGCATCTGTGATGGAAACACAAACACTGCAGGCTCAATCTCACATTTGGGGCTTCACAAGACCTAGCGAGTTATTGAGATCAATTACCCATGAGCCACTGAGCCGAACAATTCACCCCAGATGCTCCAGGGGAAATTAGTGCACATGAAGACTTTGATTAAAAACCATCCACTAAATAATAAATGTATCACAGGTCTTTCAAATTAAAGCATGCATGGTGTAATGACCCATTAATTATGTTGGTATGCATCCAAATCAAAATAAATAATTGTAATTACTTTATCAATTTGTGTTTTTCGCTGTTTAATCAGCGCAGACTAGTTTCAAACAGAGTAAATGGTCTGAGTTAATCAGAGATGGTGTAAATATAACCCTTAGCAATAATAACGCAGGTTTTAGCAGCAGTGCTTTATGAAACATGTCTGACATGAGCGTTGAGAGACATTTCAAACAACTGCCAATATAAACACGCAATTACAAACCCGCCAGCATGCTTTCCTTAACGCTCACGCTCTGCTCGTCTCAAACTAACAAAACATCTGTTCATAGGTCAAAAATGACCTGGACCATGAAGATTACATTTTTTATATGTAAACTTACATCATTTCATTCTGATAACATTTTTTAATTATATACAAAAATTTAATATTTTAATTATATCAATTATATAATTTTAGAATAAAATTATTAATGTATAATTTAAAGTATTGAAATTTTAAATAAATAATCAAGTTTTTAAAGAAGCACTGAAAATTTAAATAAATAAATAAAAATAACTAAATCTGTCATTTTCTGTGGCACTTTGGATGTAAAACAGAAAAAAACATCTGGGTCATGTCTGCATTTTCTTCCGTCACTGGCCAAATTGTAAAATCATGAAATAATATCTTCAGAATCATTCATACATGTTAAAATTGGCTGAGAATTGAATAAATTGAAAAAAAAAAAGAAAAAGAAATCACATCTTCCTAGCTAACAAGAAACGTTCTCTCAAAGTTATGAGCAAATGTTCTTCTAGTAACGTCTGTTCAAAGTTATCTAATCTTTAATAATGTTCTCAAAACGTTACTTACACATTGTTTATGGAACTTTTTTTTTTTTCAGGTCGATGTTCATGTAACATTTTTTAAATGTAACTACTTGTTTCAGAACGTTCAGAGAACATTCAAATGTAGCATTCCCATAATGTTTGCGAAATGATCAAATGAAATGTTCCATTAACGTTCGTATAATAATTATTAAAATAATAATTATAAAACACTTAAAAATTGATGTTTTGATTGTTCAGAAAACAGAAATAATGTGTTCATAACTTAAAGGAACACTCCACTATTTTTGAAACTAGGCTCATTTTCCGACTCCCCTAGAGTTAAACAGTTGAGTTTTACCATTTTCGAATCCATTCAGCCGATCTCCGGGTCTGGCGGTAGCACTTTTAGCTTAGCTTAGCATAGATCATTGAATCTGATTAGACCGTTAGCATCTCGCTCAAAAATGACCAAAGAGTTTCTATATTTTTCCTATTTAAAACTTGACTCTTCTGTAGACTCACAATGTAACTACAGAAGAGTCAAGTTTTAAATAGGAAAAATATAGAAACTCTTTGGTCATTTTTGAGATGGTAAAACTCAACTGTTTAACTCTAGGGGAGTTGGAAAATGAGCCTATTTTCAAAAATAGTGGCGTGTTCCTTTAATGGGAAAGTTAGCAAAACATACTTAAACATATCTATATTTCTTAGCTGGGTTAGTGGCCGTTTTTCTGCTGATTAAGGAAAACAGACTATTTTTGAAATCAGCATCCCAAAACAAACAATTATTGGCTTTCATTCAACAAATACTGTATGATGCGGGGTCTTGTAAGAATGACACACAAATACAAATGCGAGAAGAAAACAAGCTGTGAGCTGTGAGAGTATTTTTTGCATGTTTTACCAGTCTGAAGGAGCGCAGGACAGACAGACCCTCCACGTTGGACAAACCCAGCTCCATGAGACTCAGACTCACGATCAGACTGTCAAAGATGTTCCAGCCCTGCTGAAAGTAATAATACGGATCCAGAGCGATGATCTTCAGGACCATCTCCGCTGTGAAGATGCCTGTGAACACCTGAGAAAAACAGCAGCAGGCTGGTGAACGTCTTCAAACTGTACACTGTAAAAAATTACCGTGAATTTAACGGTAAAAGACTGAGGTTTTTTACCGTAAATGTTACAGATTTTTTTTTACAGTGTAGATTTACATTCATGCATTTGACAGACGCTTTTATCCAAAGCCACTTTCACTAAATGTAGATTTTAATGCAATCTTCGGGAATCAGATGCAACTGAACTGTTTGAGTTACAAGAATGCTTATATTTATGTACATTATGTAAATAAACATATACATATTGTGTAACGAGTGTATAAATAATTGTATAAATGTAAAAAAATATATTCTTATGTGAATGTATACATATAAATAAATGAATGCATAAATATAAATAAATATATACATGTGAATGTATAAATAAATGTATAATAAATGTCAATATATAAATAATGACTGTATTCACATTTATTTTTTACCGACAAAAACATGGTAAATGTTTATTATGCAATTCTTGATCTGCTGAAATTAACAATACATACATTTAAGTAATATTACATAAAAATGAATGAATTTAATAGTCAGTCAGGCTTCATTTTCATTCATTGTCATGCAAAATATAATTTTTTATTTATTCATATATTTATTCTACGCGGTTATTATTGTTAACTAAAACTATCATAAATAATTTAAAATAAAATAAATAAAAAAATATAAAAGAAAACTTCTAAACGCCTAAATAAAATTTCTAAAATTCTAAAACTAAATTAAAAATATATTAAAGCTAAATAAAAATATATATTAAAAAACACAAATGCTACTAAAAATGAGAAAAGCACATAACAAAATTGAATCTTAAATTTAGCAAACAATATAGATTTTTATCCTGCTCATTTTAATCGCTAACTAAAACTATAAAATGGATCTGACCTGTTTATGTAACATTGATTTATTTATTTTTTTTTACTTAATTTTTATGTACTTCAGAGTACTATACAATTATTGGCAGTTGAAAGCATAATTTAATTAAGCAAAATGTTTAAACAAACAAACACAGAAGGGGCGGGGCATGTGTAGAACTTTATGAATGACAAGCGGTTTGCTCTTTGTTGCCATGGCTACAAGGTGTGTGTATCTACGGCAGCTGTTTGCTCTGTTTCTTGTATCTGGGAGCCGAGCGTTTGGATGTGACTGTGATACGTGACACAGCAGCAGGAAACATCTGAGGCAAACACGTCCTGTGAAGAAGATCAGCTCTGCTTCTGCCTCACATCCTCTAATTACCTCTTTAATCTAACCAATAAACTGAGATCTGGAGGAACATCTACGGCCTCTTTGAGGGCAAAGCTCATGAAAACACGCTCAGGTCACATTTCAGCCCACAAAAAAAATTTAAATAAATAAATGAATAAATAAATACATAAAATAAAAAAAATTAAATTAAATTAAATTAAATTAACTATAAATATTTCAAAATATTTAAATCAAGATATTTATATATTTTTTCTTTTAGAATAAAATATGAGCAGGACATGTTCTTGACTTAGAGTCTTAGTGACATTCACTCAGTGAAGAAACAAGGAAGAAAAATGTTAATAATGAAAATAATAATTGTAATAATAAGTATAAGCAAAATATAATTTATATTATATATTTAAATACTTATTTTTATCTTTATATTTTGCTTTTGCTTTTATTTATTTATTTATTTATTTTTTTTGCTTTAGATTTTAGGATAACATATGAGCTTGACAGCCTTCGAGACATTCACACTTTAACAAGGCTGGACAAACATTTCCAAAAAAGTTGCAATAAGGACACCTTTTAAAAGAGGCTGCAAACTATATACAAAATACAATATATATCATGTCAAAACATTTATTTTTTAGACTCTAGGATAAAATATGAGCCGGACATGTTCAGCACAGCACACAAAGCACTGAGCGGTGGCTGTCTGTAACTAACACACTGAGCGTCTCTGCTCTTCACTTTAATCTACAGATGACAGAGTCGATAACGCCGTCAGTCATGCACAAACTAACAGACGTGACCGTCTTCGTCTCTGAGATCTCAACACTCGTCCAGCTCCGTGCTTCGGTCATGTGAAGAGACCCGTATTGATCTGAGCGTCCTCATATGACTCCCGTCTACAGTATCTATATCTTCAAACAACATTCGGTATCATGCTACCATCACTATTTCTGCAGTATACAGGTTTTATTCATTGCACACTCACTACATTTGCTAAAATGAGACGAATGCAACCAGATTACACTGCGCTGCCTGCTGTTTCCCACAATGCAATGTGCTAAACCTGATTTTCCATGACCTGTATAACAAATAAAGGTATATATATATATATATAGTTTTGTATTTAATATAAATATATATTATTTGATTATAATGAATTAATCACAAAATGTTTAAATATATAACTTGTATGCATACACTACCATTTGGGGTCAATGATTAAATTAATTTTTATTTTTTTTTATAAATTAATACTTTTATTCAGCAAGGACGCATTAAATTGATCCAAAGTGCCAGTACAGAAATTTATAATGCTACAAAAGATTTCTATTTCAAATAAATGCTGTTCTTTTGAACATTCTATTCATCAAAGAATCCTGAAAAATAAAATGTATCACAGTTTCCACAAAAATATTGTGCAGCACGACTGTTTTCAACATTGATAATAATCAGAAATGTTTCTCGAGCAGCAAATCAGCATATTAGAATGATTTCTGAAGATCATGTGACACTGAAGACTGCAGTAATGATGCTGGAAATACAGCTTTGATCACAGAAATAAATTACATTTTACTATATATTCACATAGAAAATACTTATTTTAAATTATAATAATATTTCACATTTTATATTGTATTTTTGGTCAAATAAATGCAGGAGCAGAAGAGGCTTCTTTCAAAAACATTAAAAAAAACAAAAAACTTTTGAATGGTAGTGTACAATTATATAAAGGTATACATAAAATATTTTTTAAATAATATAATATAATATAATATAAAAAATGATATTTATTATAATATTTTAATTTTAATATATTTACAATATTAACATTGCCAAATATTTCTTTATACGCTATATTTCAATATATCAATAAATGTTACAAAATATAACAAATAATTACAGTTAAAGTCAGTATATGCCAACACACTTATATTAATGCATCTTTAGTGACAGGAAGAAGTTCAGTAAATACTCAAAAGTGGTGCTCACCAGGTTCCCCACAGACAGCATGCGGTTGAACTCGTCCGTCATGGGATAGTGCTCCAGAGCCATGAAGAGCGTGTTGAGAACGATGCAGATAGTGATGGTCAGATCCAGGAACGGATCATTCACCATGAACTTCACCCACTCCTTCATCTTCAGCCAGCTGGGGTCACACGTCCACACCAGGTACTTGTGTGCAAACACGTACCAGCACGGGTGACACTTCTGCTGCGCCTCCTCCAGCTCTGTCAGCATAAAAACAACCAGGGGAGAAGAAATGACCCATGCGTTCTTCATTAGGTTCGTTTTCTTCACAAGAACCACATTTGGTCGTATAGGGTTCTTGAACTGACCATATCTGTTCCTTGATGCTTCATTATAAGACCTTCAGATCACTCTGTTGAGTTCTATTGTTGTTTATTGGTTCTTCAAAACACCAATCTAACTTGAAAGTTCAAAAAAACTTCAATCATTTTGTACACAGTCTGTAAACCCCGCCCTCCAAAGACATGTCAGCCAATCCGAAGCCAGCAAGCCTGAAAGGGCATAATGATTGACAGCCGTCTAGTGTTTCTGATTGGTTCTCCATGTAGTTTGTTCCTGTTTGAAGACTGCAATGGAGTCACAGAACTCATTTCACAGATATCTGCCAGTTAAGAGGGATTTTATGCATAATATTAAAGCACCACAGTGTAAATTTATTGTAATGTAAGGATGGACTGTTTACCTGTCTGGATGAATAAATTAAATCAAAACATTTACATAAACCATTAGAGGCCTCATGATATAGAGTGTCTGAATGCACATAAAACGTGTTTTTGCCAGTGCTATACAAATGCTTCCATGCATGTGCATTTAATAATAACTACTTTAGATAAAAGCGTAATTTACAGCTGAGCATTGAAATTCTTGGCTTGTAGCAAACACCACATGAATAGGTCACGATGAAAGGTTAGCATGATGTTTTTCTACCCAACTGAGGTTGAATTGCACTTGACAAGTGAGGATGCGTGTTTAGGAGGAACCTGTAAGTGTTCTAATGAGAAATGAGACAGAGACAGACATCTTGTGTCTCTAGATTTGGCTCTGCGGCAGTAATGTGCTACTAACTCCTGCGATGAGCCGCTGCGGTGGTGTGATGGACCACAGCGGGTGCAGTCGACCTGTCAGCCTTTATTTCATCCTCCACAAGAGAAACTGACCAACAAACAGACCTTCAGTTAACACCACGTTCACCTTAATACAGCAGGAACTAAACTGCAGATGACGTGTAACGTTGTTTCTGAGTGTTAATGATGAACTATGAGAATTATTTTTTTAGTTAATTAAACTATAAAATAAAAAAGTAAATAATTATTTGAATTATTATTTAAAAAATAAAAATATATTAATTTGATTGATTGATTTATTTATTGCTTGCATGCTTTACTTGGAAAAAGAACTTCAGTCGCTATAATGTTGCACACTTGCATTCTATATAGTTGATTATATTTTACTGTAAATTTATTGTATGGCATTTTTCACAATATGTATCATTGCAAGCAAAAAGCAAACAAACAAACAAGGTTTTTGTGGTTGCTATGCTGTGTGGGTGGTTGCTATGGCATTACTAGTGTTCTAAATTATTTTTAGCACATTTCTATGCGGTTGCTAGGCTGTCTGTATTGTTTCTAGGGGGTTGCTAGGGTGTCGGGCTGTTTCTAGGGGGTTGTTGGGGTATCTGCCTTGTTTCTAGAGGATTGTTATGGTGTCTGCATTGTTTTTAGGGGGTTTCTAGGGTGTCTGTATTGTTTCCAGGGGGTTACTATGGTATCTGTATTGTTTCTAGGGAGTTGCTAGAGTGTCTGTATTATTTCTAGGGGGTTTCTGGGGTGTCTGGATTGTTTCTAGGGGGTTGTTAGGGTGTCTGCGTTGTTTCCAGTGGATTGTTATGGTGTCTGGGTTGTTTCTAGGGAGTTGCTAGAGTATCTGTATTATAGGGTGTATGGATTGTTTCTAGGGGGTTGCTAGGGTATCTGTGTTGTTTCCAGTGGATTGTTATGGTGTCTGGATTGTTTCTAGGGAGTTGCTAGGGCGTCTATGTTGTTTCTAGAAGATTGTTATGCTGTCTGTATTGTTTCTAGGGGGTTGCTAGGGTGTCGGGCTGTTTCTAGGGGGTTGTTGGGGTATCTGCCTTGTTTCTAGAGGATTGTTATGGTGTCTGCATTGTTTTTAGGGGGTTTCTAGGGTGTCTGTATTGTTTCCAGGGGGTTACTATGGTATCTGTATTGTTTCTAGGGAGTTGCTAGAGTGTCTGTATTATTTCTAGGGGGTTTCTGGGGTGTCTGGATTGTTTCTAGGGGGTTGTTAGGGTGTCTGCGTTGTTTCCAGTGGATTGTTATGGTGTCTGGGTTGTTTCTAGGGAGTTGCTAGAGTATCTGTATTATAGGGTGTATGGATTGTTTCTAGGGGGTTGCTAGGCTGTCTGGGCTGTTTCTAGGGAGTTGCTAGGGCGTCTATGTTGTTTCTAGAAGATTGTTATGGTGTCTGTATTGTTTCTAGGGGGTTGCTAGGCTGTCTGGGCTGTTTCTAGGGAGTTGCTAGGGCGTCTATGTTGTTTCTAGAAGATTGTTATGGTGTCTGTATTGTTTCTAGGGGGTTGCTAGGCTGTCTGGGCTGTTTCTAGGGAGTTGCTAGGGCGTCTATGTTGTTTCTAGAAGATTGTTATGGTGTCTGTATTGTTTCTAGGGGGTTGCTAGGCTGTCTGGGCTGTTTCTAGGGAGTTGCTAGGGCGTCTATGTTGTTTCTAGAAGATTGTTATGGTGTCTGTATTGTTTCTAGGGGGTTGCTAGGCTGTCTGGGCTGTTTCTAGGGAGTTGCTAGGGCGTCTATGTTGTTTCTAGAAGATTGTTATGGTGTCTGTATTGTTTCTAGGGGGTTGCTAGGCTGTCTGGGCTGTTTCTAGGGAGTTGCTAGGGTATCTGTATTGTTTATAGGGAGTTGCTAGAGTATCTGTATTATTTCTAGGGGGTTGCTAGGGTGTATGGATTGTTTCTAGGGGGTTGCTAGGGTATCTGTGTTGTTTCCAGTGGATTGTAATGGTGTCTGGATTGTTTCTAGGGGGTTGCTAGGGTGTCTGCGTTGTTTCTAGGGGGTTTCTAGGGTGTGCTGGGTGGTTGTGAGGACACTGTGTTGCTTTGCGGTTGCTAAGGTGTTCTGGATGCTCTCAAGAGTTGTTTTGTGGTTGCTAGGGCACTCTGGGGTTGGGTATTTGGGTATTTCTTGCTTGGGTATTTGGGCAGTTTCTAGATGGTTGCTAGGTTAGTTGTTAGTTGCAAATACAAAGACTTCACACTGTTTGCTCACTTACATTATTTAGGTTAAAACTGTACAGTAGTACTGTTATTTCATCTTTATTCAGCTATAAAATCATAGATTTGATTTGTTTATTTGTGTAAAATAATGTACTCCTGTCATAGCAAATGGGAATTTCCCTGCAGGAATGATTAAAACTGTGCACAGTACAAAATTCAGGCCCTGGATAGTAAAACCACAGTGGAAACTATGATTACCATGGTAATTTTTTTTGTAAAGAGTACGTCTGAGAATTTTTGCAATACGGCTGTTCCAGTGTCAGCATATTTATATACAAGTAAATCAGTAAGTGGTAGCTGGCAATCTATCATACACGTATGTGAGCATCATCTGACATAACGTGCTCATTACAGTAAATTTGGCCTGCTGCTGTCCTGCCGTGTCAGCTTTCACATGCGTGAAAATGAGGATTGGCATTTTCTTATGCTAGCAGATCTAAACTCAGACCCTGTGAGCTCAGGCCTTCTTCTGTTAGCAACTTTTGTGCTGACCAATCAAGATTCCAGAAAAGACTCAAAAATATGGGCCATTTTTATTCACAGGTGACATTTCATGTCCTCTAGTGAGGAGAGCACACTAACTGTATGACAGAAAACTGTCTTCGACTGACTTCTGATGAAGAATCCTGATGTTTGTACTCATAAAAAGATGCCAATGATCTCATGTTTCTCCATGTTACTTCGCTATAAGTACTATAACTATATTAGCAAAGATAATTACATTAGTGTCCACGCCAGTGGGCAATAACATTTTGCAACGCCTGTTGCTTTAAATGCTTACACTCTGATTGGCTGTCAACATTTGTATTATTCATTAGCTGGAAAAATCGTTCTAAAAGTGGTTGAACGTACAGTATCAGTGTACTGGATCCGTGCAATGTCTTAAAGTGACAGCACATTTTTAATGTTAATCAAACAACAAAAGACAAGGAAATCACTCACTGCTCTTGACTGAATAGCTTTTGTAACTTTAATAAGGATTCATCTTTAATTTATACAGTCAAATATGCAATGTTATTTTACATTAGATTACTTTATTTAATTTCTGTACCTAAAAACTAATGTAAAAAAAACCCCTGAAAAGCACTATTTATTTTCTTTATCTTTGCTCTACTGTATTTATTTGTGCTGTTTCTTGTAGTTGGATTAGTTGTTATTTTCTTTATTTTTATTTGACAGTATAGTCCTTTTTCTCCTAAAATAGCACATACTGAACCATACCGAAACGGTGACTCTAAAACGGTGATACAAACCGTGAGTAATTTGAACCATTACACCCCTAATCGGCAGATGATAACATTCTGTTTATTATAAGCGCACACTGCCGTTTTGTCTTCTGTCACTTTAAATACTCAATTTCGGTAAACTCAGGTGGATTCTGATTGGCTGGAAAAATCGCTCTGAAAGTGATTCCAACGATATCGTTCCTCTGCGTTGTTATCGTTATAGTTGAGTGAACGTTACAATTCTCGTAGCATTAGAGTGATTATTAAAACGTCATAGTTGTCGTGCTTGGTGGCCTTTAAAGATAACTGTAAATATAATTAGCATTCACTTTGGCTTACGACAACATTCTGTTTAGTATAAGTGTGCACTGTTGTTTTGTCGTTAAATTTAGGTGGATTCTAATTGGCTGTCAATGTTTTCATCACTCATCAGCTGGAAAAAAAGAAAGTTCTGAAGGTGATTCCAACTATATCGATCCACTGTGTTGTTACCGTACGAATGGGTCTTATACGATAACTATAAAGATAATTAACATCCACATCAGTGTACCATATTTTTCTGTTTATTATGATCGTGCATTTCTGTTTTGTCATCTGACACATTAAATACTCAAGCTTGTTAAAGTTGGATGGATTCTGATTGGCTGTCATTGTTTTTATCATTCACCAGTTGGAAAAAAATCACTCTGAAAGTGATTCCAACGATATCGTTCCTTTGCGTTGTTATTGTTTTAAATGATTTTTAAAGCTTCATAGTTACTTATAGTTATCGTCCATGGTCTGAATGAGCCGCAAACAGTGAAAATGAATTCATCACTTGATTTATTTATACACACACGTCTACAGGCGGTCTACTCTTTCGTTTCCTAAAACGCTTTGTCGCGATGGGCATAACGGATTTGAAACTGCGAGGACATTCTGTTACGCTATTATTTAGTCGCTAAAACGCTCAGGGAAGAGTCTGGCTTCTTGTGCCACCCAGGTGATGTCAAGCCTGGCTGTGTCATGATGAAGCAGCAGTGGGGAGGGTTACACCTTTCCTCTGAATAACAACAGCGAGCGGCGTCTCGGGGGACGATATTAACCGCGAGCAGATGGAGACACTTCTCCTGTCCTTGCACGCATCTGAAAAGATTTCATGTGGATTTTACATGCATATGGAGTTGTTTCAGGGTTAATATCTCGTCGCTGGCTCGTGTGTGATTGTGGTTTGTAGGTTTTTGTTGTGTTGTGTTTCTGTCAGGCGCCGTGTCTTACCTTCCATGGCGTCAGTGATGTAGCTGGTGGCGCTCAGGGTCCGGTCTCGGCCCTCCTGGGGCAGCTGGGGCAGGAGCATACTGCTCAGCTCATTGCTGGAGTTGTGTCCCTGAAAAACCAACAACAGCAGTCACCGAAATGGCTTCATAAGGAAATAAACAAGAGCATGTTTATAGCACTAACTGCTCTCTCTTTTACTTCAATTCACTGTGTGGTGTTTTTCATATAATATGTATCATACCAAAGCTTTAGAATGCAAAAAAAAAATATTATGGTTGGTTTATGGTTGCTAGGGAGACCGAGTGGTTGCTAGGGTGTTGCTATGTAGTTTCTAAGTGTTCTAAATGATTTTAAACACTTTACTTTGCCTGCATCCCAATGTCCATACTATCCAAATAGTATGTGAGATTAGAATAAGTGTGTCCCAAAGCATAGTATGCTGAAAAGAGTATGCCAGAAGTCCCCGGATGGTCTACTGTCTCAGGAAGATTTTTGAAGTGTGGATCCATGCACACTCTAATGGCTAATATTACCCACAATCCATTGCGCTTTGGCGAAGGATTCGTTTCAGAACTACAAACACGAAAACCTACAAACATGGTGGATGTGTACGACCGACGGTTAAATACAGAGGTTGAGCTAAATGGGTTTGAGTTACTAATAATCAACATTTAGGCTAACCTGGTAAAAAAAATAAATTATTTAATCTTATCTGTGTTATATTTCATCTGCAACAACAATGTGAACTTTTATAAACAACCATTTGGCCATTAAATTTTAAATGCATCATTATGCAAAAATTCTGAGCGGAGATCTCCGCATAAAGACCCACAGCTGGCAGATCAATGAGCTACTTCTTTTCTCTCCGATATGGTAGGAAGTTAAATTAAATTAAATGTGGAGGATGTTAACTGTGACGAGATGATTGACAGGTCAGTTTACAGTGACAGGGTGCGTGTAACTATGAGACAGAGCAAAGACGCAGTTGTATGACGGATAGTTTGTCCCAAAGCTTGCCTACTCTTCTACTACACACTCAAAAGTGTGTAGCTTTTCTTCACCAAAAGAGTGCATACTTTAAGGGCGTAGTATAAGTAGGCACATTGGGGCACAGCATATGTGTTTGCTAGGGTGTTTAGGTGGTTTCTAAGGTGTTTCTATGTGGTTGTTACAACATTGTTGGTGATTGCAGGGGCATTTCTAGTGTAGCTGTGCAGTTGCTACCTGTTCTGAATGATTTTTTAACACATTGCTATACACTACAGTGTTTGCTGGTTGCTAGGGTGTTGCCTTTGTGGTTTCTGTAGGGTTGTGTGAGTGACACATTGCCATGTGGTTGCTAGGGTCTCTGGATGGTTCCTACGGTATTGCTATGTGGTAGCTACAATGTTGTGGGTGATTACAAGGCCATTGCTGTGCAGTTGTTAAATGTTCTGAATGATTTTAAGCACATTGTTATGCAGTTGCTAGGGTGTTTAGATGGTTTCTAAGGTGTTGCTATGTGGTTGCTATAGCATTGTTGGTGATTGCAAGGTCATTTGTAGTGCTGCTGTGTAGTTGCTACCTGTCCTGAATGATTTTTAAGCACATTGCTATGTGTCAGGGTGTTTGGGTGGTTGCTAAGGTGTTGCTATGTGGTTGCTAGGGTATTTGGGTGATTGCTAGGGTGTTGCTATGTGGTTGCTATAGCATTGTTGGTGACTGCAAGGTCATTTGTAGTGCTGCTGTGCAGTTGCTACCTGTCCTGAATGATTTTTATTACAACATTGTTGGTGATTGCAAGGGCATTTCTAGTGTAGCTGTGCAGTTGCTACCTGTTCTGAATGATTTTTTTAACACATTGCTATACACTACAGTGTTTGCTGGTTGCTAGGGTGTTGCCTTTGTGGTTTCTGTAGGGTTGTGTGAGTGACACATTGCCATGTGGTTGCTAGGGTCTCTGGATGGTTCCTACGGTATTGCTATGTGGTAGCTACAATGTTGTGGGTGATTACAAGGCCATTGCTGTGCAGTTGTTAAATGTTCTGAATGATTTTAAGCACATTGTTATGCAGTTGCTAGGGTGTTTAGATGGTTTCTAAGGTGTTGCTATGTGGTTGCTATAGCATTGTTGGTGATTGCAAGGTCATTTGTAGTGCTGCTGTGTAGTTGCTACCTGTCCTGAATGATTTTTAAGCACATTGCTATGTGTCAGGGTGTTTGGGTGGTTGCTAAGGTGTTGCTATGTGGTTGCTAGGGTATTTGGGTGATTGCTAGGGTGTTGCTATGTGGTTGCTATAGCATTGTTGGTGACTGCAAGGTCATTTGTAGTGCTGCTGTGCAGTTGCTACCTGTCCTGAATGATTTTTAAGCACATTGCTATGTGTTAGGGTGTTTGGGTGGTTGTTAAGGTGTTGCTATGTGGTTGCTAGGGTATTTGGGTGATTGCAAGGTCATTTGTAGTGCTGTTGTGCAGTTGCTACCTGTCCTGTATGATTTTTAAGCACATTGCTATGTGTTAGGGTGTTTGGGTGGTTGCTAAGGTCTTGCTATGTGGTTGCTAGGGTATTTGGGTGATTGCTAGGGTGTTGCTGTGTGGTTTCTACAGGGCTGTGTAAGTGATTGCAAGGTCATTTGTAGTGCTGTTGTGCAGTTGCTACATGTCCTGAATGATTTTTAAGCACATTGCTATGTGTAAGGGTGTTTGGGTGGTTGCTAGGGTGCTGCTATGTGATATCCACAGTGTTCTCTGTGATTGTAAAGGCATTGCTGTGCAGTTCCTAAGTGTTCTGAATGACTTTAAGCACATTTATGTGGCTGCTAGGGTGACTGGGTGGTTGCCAGGGCATTACTATGTGGTTGCTAGAGTGACCTGGGTGGTTGCTAGGGTGTTACTATGCAGTAGTTACAGTGTAGCGGACATTTGCAAGGGCATTGCAAGTGTTGCTGTGCAGTTGTTAAGTGCTCTGAACAATGTTGAACACATTGCTATGTGGTTGCTAGGGTGACTGGGTGGTTGCTAGGTGGTTGCCAGGGCGTTGCTATGTGGTTGTTAAGGAGTTCTGAATAGCTCCACCCTCAATTCTCTCTGATGTTCTTGTCTCTAGATAAGGCTCAGCAAACACAATACTTTATATGGTATTATTGACTGTGCAAACACACACACACACCTTAATCTACAACACTCCTAATGGCATTTAAATATAAATTCTGTTTATTGCAAAACAAAAGCCTAATAAAAGCAGCGATTAACCCTCAGCAGCAGATGTCTTCAGTGATAATGGGTGTTTTGGGAAATGCGTTAATTTTTGTCAAACGCTTTTATCCATTTGTTTTCTAAACGTCAGCTGTTTTAATTTTTTTTTTATCTGAGGTCTTTGAGTCGATACGATGTCTGTCTGTAACAATGACACATCTGATTATATAATGTGTTTTTGATCGCAGGTAATCAAAGGAATGACGCAGGAGCACTTCATCACGGCCCACCAGAACGCCCACTCCTGCTGTTCAGACGAGTGGGAAACACCGCCGCGTGTGTGTGTGTGTATCAGCTCAGAGAAGGCAAGAGCATAATGCATGTTATCAGTGTGACTGGCAGCTATAGAAGGACTGACTACTATATGAACATACTGTAACACAGAGCGCAGCAGTCTGTTCAGAGACAGGAGCTCTTATGTTTCGTCCTTGAAGAAGATGAGGAGGTTTCTGTGAGACGTTCAGCTACTGTAGATTCATCACACAACACGTAACCTTGAGTTGATGTCTGTTTTAAACTAACAATGTTCATAGGTGAATCTGGCAAAAATGGTCAAATTTGACCAAATTCTCAATACTGTAAAAATGCTTTACATGTCTAAAAAACATAAATAAAAAAATGGCAAATGTCACAATACCAAAAATATGCATGCTTCTAACAAAAGGCTTCAGTTTCATTATGTATTTATTTTTTTCTTAAAATTTTGGGGTGAAATATGTAGATTTTTTTATGACCAGCTGAATAATTTAATGTTTTATCATCTGATAACCATTTTTTTAATTATTATATCGCAGGAGCACTTCATCACGGCCCACCAGAACGCCCACTCCTGCTGTTCAGACGAGTGGGAAACACCGCCGCGTGTGTGTGTGTGTGTGTGTGTGTGTGTGTGTGTGTGTGT